TGAGCTCCGTCTTTGGCATGGGCTAGAAAATTCCACTGTGGCATTGGCAGGGTTTATGCAGCACCAGAACTTTAAAGCAACCCTGCGCTGAACGCTGCGAGGAACAAAGGTAAGGCAGATTGGTTTGACTTCCTTGCCCACAGTGGGGAAGAGACAAAGAAAGGAGGCAAGGACAAATCACCTGGCCGGGAGAGGTGTGTCCAGTCGGAGGAGGTGCTCTCCCGAATTGTTTTCGGAACGTGTCTCTGCAGGCAGCACAATGCCCTCCTTATTCCTCCATCTTCACACCATGGTGGCTGACTTGGAGCCTGATGGGCAGTGGCAAGCGTTCAGATCTGTGGCCGACGGGCACGTCTTGGACGGATTCCTTCAGCCACTGGGGTGGGAACAAGCAGCGTTTGCCTCACAGTCTCGCCTTGTTCCAATGAATTGGCAGATTGAACTGAATACATACAACGTGTGGCCCAATTGTCAATAAGTACTTGTTCGTTCATTCAGTAAATGATTTTTGAGCACCTACTGTGCTCCAGGGGCTGGACATACAGCAGTGAACAAAACAGACGCAAAGCCTCTCCACAAGGAGGTGCGGGATGGGAGGTGGACAGTCAGCACAAAACCAAGACAATTTCAAGTACTCATAAAACAGAGTGATGGGACAGAGTGGGAGGAGGTTATTTTGGAATGATTAGGTAAAGCCCCAAGAGACACTGGAGCTGAAATCTGAATCACCCAAGGGAACCAACTGTCGAAGATGCGGGAGCAGAGGTCTTCTAGGTGCAGGGATCAGCATGTGCAAAGGCCCTGAGGCAGGAGTGTATTAGAAAATCTTAGGAACTAAGTGGAAGCTGGTGAGGAACTAGTACTCATGAGCAAGGGGTTAAGAGGTCAGAAACAAAGGCAAGGCCTGGATTTATTAATGTATTGTGTGAAACATTACATCTAACATTGTAGTGCTTTATCGTTTGCAGAGGCTTCTTTCTTTTTTTCTCTTTCTTTCTTTCTTTCTTTCTTTCTTTTTTTTTTTTTTTTTTTTTTTTTTTTTGAGACAGGGTCTTGCTTTGTTGCCCAGGCTGGAGTGCAGTCATGCCATCACAGCTCTCTGTAGCCTTGACCTCCCAGGCTCAAGTGATTCTCCTCTCTTAGACTCCCAAGTAGAAATAGAGGTTCATGCCACCAGGCCTGGATAAGTTTTAAAAATTTTTCTGTAGAGGCAGGGTCTCACTCTGTTGTCCAGGTTGGTCTTGAACTCCTGGACTCAAACAATCTTCCTGCCTCATCCTGCCTTGGCCTCCCAAAGTACCAAGATTACAGGCATGAGTCACCACACCCAGCTTGTAGACGTGTTTTCATTTGTCTTGGGTAATTACACAGGAGTAGAATCCTTGGTCATGAGGTAGTTCTTTATGTTTAATTTTATAAGAAACTACCAGACAATTTTCCAAAGTGGTTATATTATATTACATTATATGAGAGTTCCAGTTGCCCCACATCTTTGTCAACACTTAGTATTGTTGCTCTTTTTAATATTAGCCATTCTGGTGAGCATGTAGAGGTTTTAATTTGCATTTCCCTTATTGCTAATAATGTTGAACATTTTTTCAGAGGTAAGTGTTTTTATGGTTGTAATTCTTTGTCTAGAGGCAGAGCTAAAGACTGTTTGAGGCAATTTTTTGAGTCCTGGGTATTACTGAAAATATCGATATTGTTATTGATGCCATGCTCTGGTACAGTAGGCTTCATTCTTCCTCTAGCCAAGTTGAAATGTGGAGGAAAAGAACGCTGGGTGCCATGTTGCCCAAGAATGATTTGTGTGAATGACCAGCCAAGCAGTGACTGGATCTTTTCAGCGGCAATTCCAGAATTTCAGTACATGCCATGTCTGACTGGAAGAATGGGAACTGGACTTGAAGAGTGCTTTCTCCCCATATGGTGTTTTCATTGGGATTGTATGTGTGTTAGCAGGATCTCTAAGAGATCTGATGGTGATGATGATGATGATGATGATGATGATGATGATGATGATGGGGAGGAGAATGTGGAAGGAGTTAGGGTAGAAACTAACGCCCACTGCAAAAGCAATGGCAGAGTTGGATTAATCCTACCATAGTGCAGGTGTGAGGCTGGGCATAGTATGGTATTGAGCAGAGCACCTAGGAAAGCATATTAATCCTAACAGGCCAGCAGATATCCCAAGCAGGCCTTCTCTAAGCACCCGAAACTCCCCGAAAAGCATGAACAAGAGCCATATTTAATATGGTGCTAGCTCCACCTCAATATTGTTATTCCAGGGGGAATTGTCCAGGGAGGTGGAAAGCACGTGGAGTTTGTGTAGCAAATCAGTCCCCTGGGAGGTAGGGCATTCAGGACTCCCTGTACGGAAGAAAAGGCCTTTGGGCCAGGTTGCCAGGCCTCCCCCTGAGCATATCAGTTCATGTATTTTCTCAAGACATTCTTGATGATACTCCAAAGGCCAACCAGCAGAACACCTCCATCTGCCCTGAGACCTGACACTCACCAGTTCCCAGACATTCTGAATTGTGCCAAGCCAGTTTATATACTTTCTCCATCTAAATGTGAACTTATAAAGAACAGAAACCATTTCTTATTTATAAAGTCTTAGTTTGGGTTCCCGCTGAAGCAGACCCTGAAACAAGGATTTGAGTGGAAGTAGTTTATTTGCAAGTTGATCCCAGGAAACACAGGAAGGGGAGTGGGGAGGTGAGGCAGGGGATATGGGCAGCAATGTGGGGTATGTTAGCAAGCCAGCTGCCACTGTGGGCACTGATATGGTTTGAATATTTGTCCCCTCCAAATCTCACATTGAAATGTGATCGCAATGTTGGAGGTGGGGCCTGGTGGGTGGTGTTTGGGTCCTGGGGGCAGATCCCTCATGAATGTCTTGGTGCTGTCATCATGATAGTGAGTTATTGTGAGATCTGGTTGTTTAAAAGTGTGTGGTACCTGGCTGGCAGCGGTGGCTCATGCCTGTAATCCCAACACTTTGGGAGGCCGGGATGGGCGGATCACCTGAGGTCAGGAGTTTGAGACCAGCCTGGCCAAAGGTGAAACTCCATCTCTACTAAAAATACAAAAAAATTAGCTGGGAGTGGTGGTGGGTGCCTGTAATCCCAGCTACTTTGGAGGTTGAGGCAAGAGAATTGCTTGAACCTGGGAGGCGGAGGTTGCAGTGAGCCAAGATCGTGCCATTACATTCCAGCCTGGGCAACAAGAGTGAGACTCTGCCTCAAAAAAAAATTTTTTTTTAAAATTGAAAAGTGTGTGGTACCTCCCATGCCTTGTTCCCACTCTTGCCATGTGATACACTGGCTCCCTGTTTGCCTTCAGACCTAATTGTCAGCTCCTTAAGGCCTCATTGGAAGCAAAGCAGGTGCTGGCACCATGCTTCCTGAACAGCCTGCAGAACTGTGAGCCAATTAAACCTCTTTTCTTTGGAAATTACCCAGCCTCAGATATTTCTTTATAGCAACAGAATGACCTACCATAGGCACCTACAGGTGGGTCCTGTGGGTCCTCTGGGCCATGGTACAGAACATGACTCCAAGTTATTCCACCTGAGCAGGGAGGGAGCTGGGGTATTTATCTACCAACTCATAATAGTCATTGAATGAGAAGTTAAAGCCTGGGAGGCTTTAACTTCTGGAACTTGCAGCTGCCCGCTTGTAGGCAGGGTAGACTCCAGCAGCTGGTGAAAGCCCTCAAGTAAAGATTTGCAGGTGCTGGTAGCTGGGAGTCAGACTACCTTTGTACAGTGAAGTTGTAAGGCCAAGAGGCTATGGGCAGGGCACTGACAATGTCCGTTGTGCTTCCCCAAAACATGGCTCAGTTCTGGCAATGAACAGATCCTCAGTAAAGCGTGCTGGTTGAACCCAGAGAGACCAGCCAGCGTTGGTCCCAAAGCTACAGCTCCTGTTTATTCTCCAGCAACCCCTGAATACTGCCATCAGTTGGCAATACTACTTCAGGATCAAACCTAAGATACCAGCACCCTTACATGTTCTTAAAGTGTGTGGTCTCAGAGCAAGCAGCCTCAATGTCATGTGGGAATGTGTAAGAAATGTGAATTATTGGGTTCTCCCCCAGACCTACTGAGTCAGAAACTCTGGGAGTGGGGCCCAGGAATCTGTATTTTAACAAGTCTTCCAGGTCATTCTAATGCAACCTAAAGTTTAAGATCCACTGTTTTGGACTCTAAAATTTAGGGCCACTCAACAGTTTCCAAAGCAAAGCCGTTTGCTCTTGGTTAGAACTCCTCCACCCCCAATCCCAAGCACCAGTGGCAAAAGGGGATGGAACCTCCAGAAACATTTTATACTTTGCCCCCTTTTTTGAGTTTTTCTTTTCTTTTTCGGCTTAGTAAATATACATTGTACCAAGTTATCAATTACCAACAATGGAAAGTAGGCCAGGCATATGTGCTATAGAAGATAACCTAGAGGACACCTGTGTTGAATTTAACTTGAAGGTGGGAGGATTTATATTTCTGCTTGTTTTCCTGAGTTAATATTTAAGTTACTTCTCTTTCCTTGAGTCCCTACCAGGTGAGCAGTAGGGGAAAATTACGGGTATACTAGTAGAAGAAAAAGCTGCCCTGGAATTTTAAGTCCATCACAGCAGATGTGCAAGGAGCTGGGGGTACCCACAGAAGTTGCTTTGTGCGGGAAAACTGTATGAAGGATGGACTTGGTTTCACTGAAGTGACCCAGGCCGGGTGAGAATAGAAACTGTGGCAGGAAGTGGCAGTGGATGGATTCATCAGCAGTCTTCCAGGCTGACGTTTTCTGTACAGCAGACATCCCTCACTCCTTCCCAGCAACCCCAGCTGAGAACAGCACCTAGACAGGCCGATTTCTTCTGGAGAGGCCTGAGGCTCTCACTCCTGCCCTGCCCTGTGCCCTGATGCCAGCAGCCACAGCAGCCCTTCCTGTGCCCACCCCTGACCCGTGGAGTGACCTCACAATGTAGTCCATTCAGGATCTTGGGACTGATTGCTCCATGGGCCTGGGACATAAGCTGAACCTCTGGCCTGCAGTTCCAGATCCAAGGGGACTGAGACAAACTGCCGGCTGCCACTGGCTTGTCAGGAGCACCTGGTGAGTATTCAGAACTTCCCCCAGCAGCATGGAAGGAGATACAGACAACAGCTGGCTGTCTTAGCACTTTAGGGTCTCATTCTCACACAGGTTTAGATGGGCCAAACTGGTGGCTGGGGGTTCGCCAGGTAAGCCCCAAACTCTTCCTAGGAAAGCTGACTGCCCTGATGCACACACCCCTTCCCAGCCTCTTCCTGCTGTGTCACCATCTGTGGGAGGCGGTACTCTCTTCTCCCTTAAGACTCAGCTTGCCACCTGCACCAGCTCCCTGGGCAAAGGTCACCTGTGTTCTTAATAGACAGAGCAGAGAGGCCAGGCTTTCAGGTGGCAAATTCACTAGAGCATCACTTCTAGCCTGAATTGAGGTCAGGGACAGCTATTGGCCAAATGACACACCACATAGCAGGGATAAGCAGAGGTAGCTGACGCAGCCACCTCCCATCCAAAATGTGTACGACGGCCCTTCCTTTCTGTAAAAGGCCTTCCTGCTTTGGCTGTTTTTAAATCTCCACCTCCCGGTGACCCGCTTGTATATCAAATCGCTTCCTTTCGTTTCAGGACAGCAAGAGAGCTTTGGGATGGTGACGGGAAATGAGTAGATGGATTAGAACACCAGGAAAGCGGGCAAAATCTAAGGTGGGGGGATGGGGACAGACGCCAAAGCCATCTCTCAAAGAGGATGCTGGCTCTTTCCATATGGGCCACCTGCACTTGGTCGAGGGTGGTTTGAGGCCCAAGGTCTTCTACAGCAAACAGTGGGGACCTGTTCTGGGCCCCAGGAGGTACAGCTGCCTTCCCCACCATGGCCCATTCGTGTTTTCCCACAGTCTGTCCATAGTCCATTCACCATCTGTGAGTGCCAACACGTCCACACAGCTGCAGCTGAGTCCCTTCTCCCACGAAGGAGTGGCTTCTGTAGGGACCCCATGATTTTGAGAAGGCTCCTAGCTCTCCCTGACTGTAAGGTAGAAAGGGAGGTGGGGGTGGGGGGATCAGAGAAATATTTTACCTTTAGGGTTTGCCATTCCTCCTTAGTTTTATATGTGATGGGCTGAAGCCAACCTCTGCTTCACACACAAGTCTAAGATGCCAATGGTTCACCAAGCATGCTAAGAACGTTTTAGCCCAGGTTAGGCCCCACTGGAAAAGGGAAAAAGACAGTAGAGGGGCCAGTGCTAGAGCAACCTGTGGTCCGCGTCCTGCAGCAGGTTTAATTTGGAAAGGAGAAAGGGAGCAAACGCTGAACCTCCCATGCCAGACCCGCCACCTATGTTGTCGCTCTTAATTCCGACCTGTGTGAAGCAGGTGTTCTCAGGTTCATTCTACAGACACAGAAACTGAAGACTGTTCTGTGCTGGTGGCACTTCTAAAGAGGGCCATTAACCTGGAGCACGCATTCACTCTCTATCGACCATCCCCAACATTAGAGCTCTCTGAAAAGAGAATGGGCTGCTTTGCAAGGCAGCAAGAGTGTGCGGGCCCCGGTTCTTCAGTCAGCATGGAAGGGAATGGGATTCTTGTCATCACCTGGTAGCTGGACCAAAAGATCTTTAAAGGCCGTTTCCAAATCCCAGATTGTAGGATTCTGGGTCTTAGCACTTTGCCCAGCCTCTGCGATTGAACTCAGATGAGTCACGCCTTAAGGGCAGCTGCAAACTTTCTGTTAGGCAAGGAGAACTGCAAAGAACCACAGAGATCAGCTACGGGCCCCAGGTAGGAAAGAGGAACCTAGACTGGTTGAGGGAGTTTTCCAAGGCTCCAGAGCCAATCTGCAGAGTTAACCTGTGTTGACTGAACAAATGGAGGAGCCAGGTCTGAGTGCTGATCAAACACCCCCATGCCCATCTCTCTCGTTCACCTGGTTCTTTCCTATCAAGATTATGATTCAGTCACCATTTACAGAATACCTACTGCATGTCAAGTGTGTTTCCAGAGATTATTTCACATACTCCTCCCCAACTCCATGAGGTGGGTGTCATCGGCCCCATTTCTCAGATAAGCATGGTTAGGTAACCACCCCAGAGGTTCAGGTACTTGTGGAGATGTCATAAATACTACATGACAAAGCAGGTCTTTCCAACCCCAAGGAAAACTTCTGTCTCCATCTGCCGCCTCCTAGCTTGTGCAAGGAAGCAGGAAGCACACTCCTTTCTTAGCTTTTTCCTAAGACAAACTGCCACTGACATGCCAAGTTCCACAGTGCCTATTTCCAGCCCCTCCTGGACATTGTCCTGATGGATGCTGAGCTCCCTGTAGGCCTGCCTGGTTCACTGGCCCAGCCCCTCACTCTGACAGGGCAAGATGGAGCGATGTCTATACACAGACAGATGTTATACACCAAGGGAGAAAATCTGCTAATCGAAAGCAGCTTCGGCTAATTGTGGCACTCTCCCTTCTGCGTGGTGCCCTGAAATAGTAGCCATGCTCTGTTCTTTTTTCACATCAGGGAGCCCCAATTGGCAACTTAAATGAGGTTGCAAAGAAGTCAGTTACACAGACCTCTGCCGCCAGTTTCCATGGACGAGGCCTTGCTGATGATGTTCCTTGGGTAGGACCCATGTGCAACTGTCTGTGGACTTGGCTTCTTGCTGTGGATAATTTGGACTCACTGTCAGGCTGCAAAAGCCTCATTTAACCCTGGGGAAAACTGGAACGTCCAGAAATTTAATGGAATACTAAGCCCAAGAGCACATGGTCTGACCTTGAACTCTGGTTCTGATCTGCTTCTGAGTTATTCTATAGCCATCTCAGCCAGCAGAACCGTCACGGGAATATTCTGTCTCTGTGTTGCCCAATATGATAGCCACTAGCCACACAGGGCCACTGGGCACTTGGGATGTGGCCAGCGGGGCTGAGGAGTTGCACTTGTTGTTTAAATGGAAGCTTAGATTACAGAGCCGTGGGTGGCTGGTGGCTGGTGTGGTAGACGCTGCTGCTCTGGCCCCTGCTGACTTTTGTGACTTCATCTCTGATCTCATTCCCCTCTCCTGGCTCTCCCTTTCCCTCTGCCTTCACTGCCAGACCTCCTGCACTTTTTGATTTTTGCATTTGCTGTTCTCTCTGCCAGCATCGCTTTTTCCTCTGATCATTTTATGGCTTGCTCCTGTTCAACAGGAGGGCCTTGGATCAAGTGTGTGTCTTCAGAAAGACCTTCCCTATTCTATCTAACAGTGTCTTCAGCCCCATTCCAAATTTCTCCTTATCTCTCTGAAGTTATCGTGTTTGTCTGTTTTCTTGTCTACTGCCCTCTCCCTGGAAACTGGATACGAATCCCAGTTTCACCAGAGCAGGGATGCAGTCTGCCCTCTTCCACTCCATCTCTGTGCCTGGAACAGTGCCTGACAGGCAGAAAGTGCTCAGTATGGTTCTCAGAGTGCAGGAACATTCTGCAGGACAGCCCCCTCCTTCAGTGAGGAGGAAAGACAGTCACAGCCCCAGTAACTTCTGCTGTGTGACAAAATAACACAAGCATAGTGGCCTGGAACAGCAAAGATTCGTATTTCTTCCACTTCTCTGGGTCTGGAATGTGAGCAGGACTCAGTTCCACATTGTGTCAGTGAGGGTCACTCAGCTGGGGGCTGGGCTGGACGGGGTGGCCCAAGAAGGCCTCACTCACACAGCTGGGACTTTTGGGCCCTCCAGGAAACATCTCTATGCGGTTCGTCTGGGTTTTCTCACAGCATGGAGGTCTCAGGGCAAGTAGGCTGACTTTTTGTTGTATTTTGAGACGGTGTCTTGCTCTGTTGCCCAGGTTGGAGTGCAGTGGCATGATCTTAGCTCACTGCAACCTCTGCCTCCTGGGTTCAAGCGATTCTCCTGCCTCAGCCTCCCTAGTAGCTGGGATTGCAGGTGCCCACCACAATGCCCAGCTAATTTTTGTGTTTTTAGTAGAGATGGGGTTTCACCATGTTGGCCAGGCTGATCTCGAACTCCTGACCTCAAGCCTCTGCCTCAGCCTCACAAAGTGCTGGGATTACAGGTGTGAGCCACCGCACCCAGCTGGCTTCTGAAAGAGGAAGCAGAGGCTACCAGGCGCAGAACTGGCAGCACCATTTTCATCACCTTCTACCCGGCTAACTAAGCCACAGGGTGAGAGCCTAGATAAAAGGGGAGGGGAAACTGTCCACCTCCTGGTGGGTTGGCAGCATGTTCATATCAGCAGGAAGGGATCTATGGACACACTACACAGTCACTTCAACAATGCTGTGGTGGTACTTCTCAGCTTTGATCATGCACATGGGCCATCTGGGGTCTGGTTAAGATGCAGATTCAGTAGGTCTGGAGTGGAGCCTGAGATTCTGCATTCCCAACAAACTCCAAGAGACGTCAGAGCTGCAGGCCCACAGGCTGCACGTGGAGTAGCAAGGCTGTATTAGAACGCATCCTATCTGAACCTGTGCTTAGGTTTGACATTGCAGGGCCCCAATTCCACTTCTAGAGTGGACATCACTTCTTCGCGTTAAGCGTTACCCATTGTTGCTGAGGTCTACATGATCGGTCCCTTCTTCCCTGGCATCTGGACTTGTGCCCACATGATGCCATGGGGTAACTGTCCCATTCTACCTCCCAAGCACTTCTCATGTCTTGCTTTATTTACCAGGCTTTAAGGCCCCTTCCTTCTTTAACATTTAGTTCTCATCGTGGTGGAATGGGGCTCTTTCAGTTAGGATTAGAAACTAAACTCAAACTAGTTAAAAGGCAAAGGATTGATTGGAGCATATATGGCTTCAGGACTGGCTGTATCTAGGCCCTCAAATGATGTTGTTAAGAAACTATTTGTCACCATCTCCAGTTCTGCATCACCAGGATCTCTCTGACAGGATCCCCCACAAGTGAAAGAAGAGACGAACACTCACTCAGCAACCCCAGCAAGAAGGGGGCACCACTTCTTGCCTAATCTTTCTGGCAAAAGTGCCAGGATTCTCTCTGGCTGGCTCAGCTGAGGTCATGTGTTCACAATGATGCAGTCATTGTGGCCAGGAGGATGTGTTACCTCATTG